ACAGATGATAGCTAGATAGATGATAGATGATAGACAGACAGATAGATGATAGATAGATGGATAGAGATAGATGATAGATGATAGATAGATAGATAGATAGATAGATAGATAGATAGATAGATAAAGAGAGCGAGAGATAGAGATAGATAGACAGACAGACAGAAATGGAGCGCAATCAAAGAAAACACCGAACATCTACTTCTAGCCTCCATGTGGGTACACCCCCTCCCATATGTGCATCCTACACATATACACACATGTGAACAGAGTGTACATTCACACAGACAGCACTCAGGTTTCTCCCAATTCACAGAAATGTGCACATATTTCATTCTTGTTTTTAAAATAGTCTCACTATGTAGCCCAGGTTGGCCTCAAACTCATGATGTTCCTACAAAAACTTGTCCTAAAAGCCAAAGCCAAACAAATAAAACATTTATTGATCTGGAAATGTAGCTCAATGATAAAGTGCCTGACCCAGAATCAGCCCTGGATTCCATCTCTACACACACACACACACACACACACATACACACACACATACACACACATACACACACATACACACACACACAGACACACACACACAGACACACACACATACACACACACACACACATACACACACATACACACACACATACACACACATACACACACATACACACACACACAGACACACACACACAGACACACACACATACACACACACACACACATACACACACATACACACACACATACACACACATACACACACATACACACACACACAGACACACACACACAGACACACACACATACACACACACACACACATACACACACATACACACACACATACACACACATACACACACATACACACACACACAGACACACACACACAGACACACACACATACACACACACACACACATACACACACATACACACACACATACACACACATACACACACATACACACACACACAGACACACACACACAGACACACACACATACACACACACACACACATACACACACATACACACACACATACACACACATACACACACATACACACACACACAGACACACACACACAGACACACACACATACACACACACACACACATACACACACATACACACACACATACACACACATACACACACATACACACACACACAGACACACACACACAGACACACACACATACACACACACACACACATACACACACATACACACACACATACACACACATACACACACATACACACACACACAGACACACACACACAGACACACACACATACACACACACACACACATACACACACATACACACACACATACACACACATACACACACATACACACACACACAGACACACACACACAGACACACACACATACACACACACACACACATACACACACATACACACACACATACACACACATACACACACATACACACACACACAGACACACACACACAGACACACACACATACACACACACACACACATACACACACACACACACACACACAAACTTGAGCACTTGCTGTAAGCTGAGTGCTGTGCCATCTGCTTCACAGAAGTAACCCCTCTGGCTACCCTGACTCTGAGAGGTGGGCTGAACTGCTCCTTATTTATTTACTTATTTGATACAAGGTCTCCCTATAGCCCCCATTGCCCTAGAACTTGCTATGTAGACCAGACTGTCCTCCAACTCACAGAGATCCGCCTGCCTCTGTCTCCTGAGTATTGGGATTAAAAGTGTGTGCCACCACATCTGGCTTTTTTTTAAAAATTAGTTGTGTGTGTGTGTGTGTGTGTGAGAGAGAGAGAGAGAGTCTTCCTGTGGCCTCAGCCAGCCTGGAACTCTCTATGTAAGCCAGGCTGGCCTCAATCTCACAGATACTCACCTGCCTCTGCCTCTGCCTCCAGAGTGCTGGGATCAAAGGTGTGTACCACCACACCTGGCTTTTATTTATTTATTTAGTGTATATGGTATGTGGGGTGTGTGTGTGTATAAACGAGTACCATGGTGCATGTGTAGAGGTCAGAGGACAGCATACTAGAATCAATTCTCTCCCTCTACCATGTGTCTTTGGGCTTCATAACAGGCACCTTTACCTGCTGAGCCATCTCCCTGGCCCTCTTTCAGATGAACCCAATCATGTCCCCCTGGCCACAGCCACCCAGCATCCAGCAGCAGGTTGGGAATCACAACTTGAAGGCTAGCAACCCCACTTGGCTACAATGACTTCCACACAAGACTCCCTGGGGGCTTGTGAAAGGATTCAGGGGGATCCCTTAAAGCCCTCAAGGGGCAGGGTCTGCTCAGAGACTCAAAAAAGCTGAGCACCACTGGGGTTGAGTCAAGCCTTGGCATTTGGGGTCTGAGAGGCTGTGGTCCTGGCTGGTCAGTCACTTTATTTGGGTCACTCAAATTTTGTGTGCTGGAAATTTGGTCCCGTGACTAGAGAAGGGACATGGGACTTAAACAGAAGTATTTAAGTCTTGTGGCCCAGCCCTGGTAGATAGGAGGATGTGTTTACAATGTTACAGGAGTGGGCTTATTTATTTTTATGTGTATGAGTATTTTGCCTGCATGTAAGCAAGTGCAACCTGTGTCATGCAATGCCCATGGAGGCTAGAAGGTGATGAATACCCTGGAACTGGAGTTTGGGATACTTGTTAGCTGCCATGTGGGTGCTGGGACCCAAACTTAGGCTCTCTGCAAGAGCAGCCAGTGCTCTTAACTGCTGAGCCATCTCTCCAGCCCCTTCTTAAAAAATTTTTTGAGCTGGGCATGGTGGCACACGCCTGTAATCCCAGTACTTGGGAGGCAGAGGCAGGTAGATCTCTGTGAGCTCAAGGCCAGCCTGGTCTACATAGTGAGTTCCAGGACAGCTAGGGCTTACAGGAAGACCCTGCTTCAAAAAGATTTAAAAAAAAAATTTTTTTTTTTTTGAGACAAGTCTTACCACATACCCTGGACGACCTGGAATGCATTACATAGGCCAGATTGACCCCAACTCAGAGAGCTGCCTGCCTCTAGATTAGGCCACCACACCCAGCAATTGTTTGGCTTTTAATATCAGCCCTTTGGCCTCTACAGTCCAGGAAGGCCACACCTGCCCCTTTACCATGTGCAGGCCCAGCCTTGGGGCCCTCTGGACCAAGCCACAGGGCCTAGCCAGCCTTATCTCAGGCCTGAAGGCCAACCTGCAAGCCCTAGAGACAACCCTTTCACATTCTCCTGGCAGGTGTAGTTTGATCTCTGGGAGCTCCAGGGCCCAACCCACTGGATATTCCACCCCAGGAAGCTAAGCCCAGGTGTTGTGAAACCAGGGCCTTGACTGGGATGTTCTAAGGGGTCACTGGGACCCTGGAAACTCTTTTCTCATTCTAGAAGCCCCACCAGTGGCAAGAGACCCTAGAGGGGTCTGGGGCTTTGCAAGGATAGGGGAACCAAGTAGCCAGGTAAGGCATCCCCCAATGGAAGGGCTGCCAAGGTGGGGGCTTACAGGGAAGGGAAAGAGGGGGCACAGCCCCAGGCACAGGTCCTCTGGTAGGAAGCCCTATGCCTCAGTTTCTCCATTTGTATTCTGCAGATCTGAGAGATGGGATCAAAGAAGAAACACACGTGGGCACTGTGCCCATCAGAAAGGAAGGCCCTAAAACCCAAGTTTAGCAAGCCAAGGACACATGAGAAGCAGCTAGGGACCTGAGGGGTGTTCCATGGTTTGAGAAAATTCCAGAGGCAAAGGCAGGAACACTGGCCACACAGGCAGCTGAGCAGTGGAGGGTCCCTCAGTAGGAACCCAAGTCACCATGCAGCCTTCCACCCTGGGATCCAGAGCCCACCCCTGACATCCCATCATGGGTCCCTCACTAATGTGAGGTTCAGGTTTGGATGTGACCTTGTGCCCTGCAGGAATCTGCCCTGGCTGAGGTGCCTGAAGGCTGAGAGACAATCTGCTTGCCTCTCAAAGGCCTGAACTCCTGCTGACCTCCAAGTGACCTCTCAGCTGGGCAGCCCCAGCCTGGCTGTCCCACCCCTTCCCCACTGGTCTTTGCCACTCCCATGTCTAGGGCCCTTTCCTCGAAGGGGTTTCCCCCAGCCCGCCTGACCTCCCAGCATCTGGCTGCTGCAGACCTGACTTGGCTCTACTGAATGCCTGCTGGACAGAATGCTGCAGACAGTACACTATGCGTGCATAGAGCAGTCAGGTACTCTGCAAGCATCTTCCTGCTGGGACTCTTTTTTTTTTTTTAAATTTATTTATTATTTTTATTTTATGTGTATGAGTGTATTGCCTACACATATGTGAGTGCACCCATGTCGTGCAATGCGCCGGAGGTCAGAAGAGGGCTTCGGATTCCCCTGGAACTGGAGTTAAGGACGGCTCATAGCCGCCATGTGGGTGCTGGGAATCGAACCCTGGTCTTCTGCAAGAGCAGTCAGTGCTCTTAACCACTGAGCCATCTCTCCAGCCCCCCAGTTGGGACTCTTAAACACAGCAAGCTACTCCCTGGTCCCCTGAGCATGGATTCCAAAGGCCAGGAGCATCTCCCATGGCCCCAAGCCCTACCAACATCCCTAGCTCTTCGTTCAGCATTCCCACCTTCTGCAAGGCTCCACCCACAGGGAGGACTGAGTCCAGCAACTTGTGTTCTGATAAATCCCAGGCAGGGCCAGGGACCCGTCCAAGGGCAGAGATGCTTCTGTAGGAACTGGTGCCTGAAAGTTGAGGGGCCTGAAGGAAGCCCTGGATACCAAGAGTAAAAGAGGTGAGCCAGTTCCCCAGACCAAGCACCAGCTGTCCTGGGGTATACCAGGCTGGCACTAGCTGGCTCAAAAAACTCTACCTTCCAGAAGCCTGTTCTGGCTCTCCTTCATGAACTTAGGACCCTGCTTTCTCCCCAAACCCTGCCTAGTGACCTCAGCCTACCATGAGGCCCTCAGCAAAGCAGCACTTCCACCAGAGGCAAAGACTCATACTAGAGTGTTTATTGCAGAAATACAGTCAAGGTTCCAGTTTAGTGGCCCCAGCTGAGGTGGTACTGGGCCTCTGAGCTCTGGGCTGGGCAAAGGAGACAGGAAGGGCAGAGGACCTTCATCTGGCCAGGACCTCAGAGTTGTGAGAGGATGTTGGCGGCCAGGCTGCAGGTAAGACCTGTACCATCTGGCTCCACATTCAGTGCCTTCACCACACCATTGTCTATCACCATGGAGAACCTGCCAGAGAGAGGCACAGCTGCAGCAGCCCAGACGGGAAGGCAGAAGCCAGGACCCCAGGCACCTAACCGAGAACAGCCCCACTTTACCTCTTGAGCCGGTGATTCCCAAAGAGTGGCACCAAAGAATCGTCTAGCAACAAATCTGTCGCCTAGAAGAGAGGCAGAGAAACCCGTCAGGAGCCCCCAAATAGGCCAGGGACTTTTCCCTACATCATGTGACCCACTGGGCCCCCACCAGGCCCCACTGCACACTCAGGGAGAGCGCTATACTCACCTTCCCAAAAGCCCCAGTGGGGTCAGCCAGGAGCCGAACCTGAGGGACAGAGAGTTAATGTCATAAGGAAACCTCCAAGGCCAGCAAGATGACTCTGAAAGTTAAAGGTGTTTGCCACCAAGCCTGACAACCTGAGTTCAGTCCCTGGAATCCACATGGTGGAAGGAGAGAACCAACTTCCTCAAGTGGTCCTCTGACCTCCCTTGTCCCTATGGCAAGCATGCACTGTCCCTGATCCCACATACAAAATAAATAAATTGCAATTAAAAAAAAAAAAAGAACAAGGAAACCTCCTACCTGGCCCCCACCACTCACAGACCCTCATCTCACCTTGCCATCTGCCTTGTGGACTCGACCCCACTCTTCAGTCACGAAGACATCATTAACACTGAGACATGCCACCACCTGCACACCCTTGGCCTTCAGAGCCCCAGCTTGTTCCACAAACCCAGGCAGGTGTGTCTAAGCAGGGGAACAAAGGATCAACAGAAAGACAACTGCTTGTGCTCCTCAGCCCACCCACCCACACCCACCCTTCATCTGACCAATCAAGGAGATCAGTGTGCAACTTTCTATTTCCTTTTTTCCCTGGCTACTAGGAAGCTCAAACCTCAATGGCCTGTGGTGGAGAACATGAAATTTCCCTGAGCCCAAGAAACTTCCACAGTGCTTGCCACCCAGCCAAGACCAATGAAGGGTATTTGACTGAATTTGAGTCCCTTTCTCCCACATTCCTGGTACTGTTATCTTTCCAGCATGGAATGTCCTATTATGTTATCTATGTACTCTTGCTGTGTAGCCAGGCTGGTCTTGAACTCATAAGAGACTTGCCTGCCTCTGCCTCTGCTTCCCGAGTGCTAGGACTAAAGGCATGCATCACCTACACATACTCTCGTGGCAAGACATAAGTACAATATAAAACATTCCAGTTCCTGATTCTGGAAGGGACACCTCACCTTAGAACAGCCAGGAGTAAATGCCCCAGGGACTCCAAACAGCACACCCTTCTTGCCCTGGAACAACTCTGCCAGGTTCACCTTCTTTCCAGGTTCCCCTTCAAACACCTCCACCGAGGGGATGGTGTCTCCCACCTGGAGGAGACTCAAAGGTAAAAGGGAGTAAAAGGGGTGGAAGTGAATCACAGCCAGGAGAATGCGGATCCTGGTGGCTGCACATCCTGGTAGCTGCTGGTAGTTGACACCCAGCAGAGAAGTTATCTCCTGTCAGTTTCCAGGGGTTTCTTCCCCATCTGCTGATTGCCCAACATCTTACAAGTTTCAAGGAGGCTGAGATCTGCTTAAGGGCCTGCTGGTGACGAGTGAAAAAGGGAAAGACCTCAAGTGTTGCAACTGTGTAAACATGCCACCCAAGAATGAACCAGTACACACAGGAAGGGTGCAGAGGCCTGTTTGGTGGTGGGGTGAGAAGGACCCTGGCAACAGGGAAGATACTGGTGAGGTCTGAGTAACCTCTGCTCCCAGGGTTACATAACACAGGCCCTCGGTAGTTAGGGAGAGCTGTTGGTTCATCCAGGGGCTTCCTGGGGCCACAGGAGGGGAAGAAAGGCTGGGGCCCTTAAGATGGCTCAGCGGGTAAGGGTGCTTGCTGCCAAGCCTACCCACCTGAGTTCAATCTCAGACACCTACAAGATGGAAAAACAGAACTGACTCACTGACCTCCACATGCATGCTGTGGCGCACAATAAATTTTTTTTTTTTTTTTTAATCTTTCTGAGACAGGGTCTCCTTGTAGCCCCAGCTGGCCTGGAACTCAAAATGTAGACCAAGCTGGCCTGGATCTCACAGATGTCTGCCTTCCTCTGCTTCCTGGGTGCTGGGATGAAAGGCATGGGTCATCACAAAGGGCCCAAATGCTTTTAAAATGCCAAATATTTTTATTTTTAAAAGGGAATGGAGGCTGCGCCAGGCAGTCTTTGGGGAGTCTGGAGGCTGGAGTCGCATGGAGGAGGAAGAGGAAGAGGTCTCAACAGGGAAGAGGAGTGCGGGGAGCTAGGAGAGTTCCAGAAGCTCCAAGAAAAGACTAAGCCAAGGGGGGGAACCAAACCACCGAGAGATCAGTGGAGGGACACCCGGGGCTCCAAGGGCTCACAAAGCGACGTCCGGTTAAAGTGGAGGGGCGGCTTTGCAGAGTGCAGAGGATTTGGAAGGGCAATGGTGATGCTTCCAGAAGCTGGGGTATAGCCTGAAAATGGTGGGGACCCGTCACCTGCTGTCGCAGCGGAAGCGTGTGAGGACTCGAGGGATGTCCCAGGACCCTCAAAGGAGAGGGAGTCTTGCAGAGGGGATGACAAGAGAGTGTCAAGGAGGGGAGTGCGCAGGGCAGGGGAGCCCGCCACAAGCCCGGAGAGGCCGACAAGGTGGCCGATAGGGGCTGGGGGCAGAGGTCACCTTGATCGGAGCCATGGCCACCGCGGCGCTGCTGAACCTGTGGTCTCCGCCACGAGCCCGCCCCGCCGCTTGCCGCCTCGCTCCGGCCGCCGCGCACTCCGAGACAGTCTCCGCTCTGAGCAGGGAGCCGGTTCGGCGGCTCAGCGAACGCAAGCCGGCGGGTCCCATGCCCGCCCCGCCGCCGAAGCCTCACGCCCCTGCACCGCCCTCAGCTCCGCCTATACGCGCCACCGTCCCCTCTGCGCAGGTGCAGAACTTCTGGGTCTCTTCGCTTATTTGCATTAAGGGCGGGGCTTCCAGGGGTTACGCACTCATTTGCATGCAAGGACAGGCGTCCGGATCCTTAACTGACCACCGAGAACGAGAAGACCGCCGGGCACTGCCTGGTTAGGCCTCAAATGCGCTTATTTTACCTGAAAGCCTGTTTTACACTGCAACTGTTCTACATATGATTTGCATTTTGCGTAAGATTTGCAACTGGGCTGTAGCAACCGCCCGGTAAAACGCTTCCGGTAGCAGGCGGTGACCCAACAGGGTCTCTCATTTCCCTCTGTTCCCGCAAGCACGAGAAGTTCCAGCAACTTCGCCACATCCGGTCCTCCGGGTCCTCCAATAGAATAGAAAGCGGAAATAACGCAAAACAGAAGCGTGGTCTCCTTCCGGTTCCGGCGTCGCTAGCTATCCTGTGGCAACATGAAATTGCTCACCCACAACCTCTTGAGCTCGCATGTGCGGGGCGTGGGCACGCGTGGCTTCCCGCTGCGCCTGCAGGTACCCACACAGGCCGAGCCGCCTTTGCCCAGGGAGGGTGGAGACCCCCGGGGGCCCGGCCTGACCTCGCTGAACCCCTCCGCGTCACAGGCCACAGAGGTCCGCATCAACCCCGTGGAATTCAATCCCGACTTCGTGGCGCGGATGATCCCCAAAGTGGAGTGGGCGGCGCTGGCAGAGGCCGTGGACTGCGTGAGGACCCCGCCCCTCTGTGCACACTCGGGACGGGGGCGGGCCCCTGCCTGGTCCTTCCCTGGGCGGAGTGGGGTGGAGCGCCCGCCCCATGACCCTGTGAGCCTCTTTCCCACAGTTAAACCTGGCCGCCATCCCCAAAGAACCGATTGAGGGCTTTGAGCACGATGAGACGTTTTTGAGGAAGATGCATCACGTTTTGCTGGAGGTGAGATCTGTGCCCATCCCCTGCTTCCCACCTTCCACCCCGTGGATGCCGGAACTTAGCTCCGTCCTGCCCCGCTCGTCGCAGGTGGATGTGCTGGAGGGCACCCTGCAATGCCCAGAGTCTGGCCGTCTTTTCCCCATCAGCCGTGGGATCCCCAACATGCTGCTGAGTGACGACGAGACCGAGACGTAAACCGTGCTGGCCGCCACTTTGGTGTTTTGTTGCCCGTGTGCATAGCCCGTTAACTAGTTCTACCGTGTGTGACCCCCCCCAACCTCCATCCAATGGACACACCGAGTACAGTGTTCTTGAGCTCCATAGTATATTTTTTTTTTCTCATTAAAGGTTCAAAACCAAAAGCGGTTTCTCTTTGCAGCAAATATACATTAAAATAGAGTCTCTGTACAGCCAAGGGTTCTGGGCCCCAGCTTGCCCCAAGTCCCCGCGACTCCCTGGCCAAACCCAAAAATAAATATAGTGTTATTGCTCTGCAGGGCGTAGGGGCAGTGCTCTCCCCCACTGCCTGAGAGGCTGGGTGCGAGCTGATGGGGGGCCCTAGCCACCCCAGGGGTCCAGGAGCTGGAGCCTGCTTGGAGTTATTGCTTCAAGGGGGGGCACTAATGCCCAATGCAAAGAGAGGAGTGAAGGGGGCAGGGGCCTTTGCTCTCCAAGTCCCTCTCTGCTAGCGAGAGAAGAGTCGGATTAAGCAGCAGCAAAAACATCACCCACAGGGAGACTGGCTTCCATCCCCTTCCCTCCCTGAGATCAGTTTCTGCCTCCCACACATCCCCTGCAGCCCTCTATGGCTTCCGCAAGGCCCCCTGACACTCGTGGGGGCAACATTATGGCTTGCAAGGGGCAGCACTGTGCCCAAACCTGGGCATTTCACGTTCCCAGCTTCTGAAACCCCCAGAGGGGAGAGGGGACAGCATGACACCTGCTCCCAGGGGTGGATGGCATTGCCCTGGCCCTGCCAGCAGGCTGTGGCACTGCCCAGACTCCAGCTCTGCCCCCTTGGGGCTTACCCCATGCTGGGCAGATCCTGCCAGCACCCCTACCCCATCCCACCCCTTGCTTCAGTCCATCATGGCCTCAAGCATTTCCAAAAACAGCTTGTGCATGGGCACTTTGCCCTCCAGCTTCACCCCATAGAAATGGGCCAGGACTTTGCCCGCTGTCTGGCGGAGGAGTGGTAGTGTGAGCAACAGCCTCCCAGCGCGCCTCCGCTCTGCACCCCCACCAGGGCCAGCCCGGCCAGCTTCGTACTCCAGCAGGGCCTCGTGCAGGGCTTCTCGCAGCTGCTCCACTGCCTCAGCATCTTCAATGTGCACAGAGTCTGAGAAGGGGAGGACCCGGTGGGTAGGGCAGGCTTATGGAAAGGGTGCGACCCACATCTGCTTGGGCACTTCTGAGTGGGGGAATGCCACTCACTGTTCTCCCTCAACTGTGGCCACCTTTGCCCTCCCACCATCTCCCCCTTTTTTTTTTTTTTAATATTTTATGTGTATGAGTGCACCTGTGTGCAATGCCTGGGGAGGTCAGAAGAAGGCATCAGATTCCCTGGAACTTGAGTTAGGGACAGTTGTTAGCCACCAAGTGGGTGCTGGGAATTGAACCTGGGTCCTCTGCAAGAGCAGTTAATGCTCTTAACCTAGCTGAGCCACCTCTCTAGCCCTCCTATCTCCCTTCTTGTCAGCATATCACCAAGGCTCAGCCCTTGGCTCTCTCTGATGTTCAGTAAGTCTTATTCTTCCCTAAGCCCCAGTTTTCCCCTATCTGCAAAACAGGACTGTGCCGCCTTCTTGGTTTACAGAGGGCCTTATGGGGAGACGGGTGCCTGCTCTGGATACTCACCAGAATTGGCAAGGGCCAGGGCCTTCAACAGGACATACTCCTCTCGCTCCAGCCTTAGGGCCTGTAGTCGCCGTACCAGCTGCAGCAGGGCTGCCCCCAGCTCCCCAAGGCCTGCTGCCCGTGCCCCCTCTTCATCCAGGACCAGATCCTCAGCAAAGGCCAGCTCATCCTGCAGTGGCAGTGAACGCTGGGCCACACCCAGCACTAGCACTTCCATCCACACACTTTGCAGGACTGACATCTGGTCAGACAGCGACAGTGACGAGAAACCTGGGGAGCAGTGGGGAGCAGGACAGGCTGAGCAAGGCAATAGAGCCAAGCCTGCCTGCTCAGGAAAATCCCCGACCACTAGGCTCTTTACCTGGGATACTCTTGGCCCAGCTGATGGTGACCACTATCTCCCGGTCAAAGAGGTCACAGAGGGTGGCCACAGCAGGGAGGTGTCCATCAGGGCCTGCTGGGTCGGGCATGGCGTACAGCTTCTCGGGCTCAACCACCAATAGATGAGACACCAGGGCATTCACAGGGGCTGCAGTAACAGGCGCAGGACTAGTCACAGACACCAACCTGGCAGGCCTCCCAAGCCCAAGAGCCAAGTGTCTTCCTAGGCAATCCCCATCCAGCCTTCCTCAAGATAGGCTGGACAGCCAGAGTGGTCACAGAGCTCCCTTCCTCAGTGAAAGCCAGCCTGTTGTAGGCAGACTGTGCACATTAGGAAATCTCTCCCTGAAGCTGAGGTGTGGCTTGGGTACAGCCCCCGTGTAGCATGTGCTAGACCCTGTTATCAGCCCCCCAGTACCCTAAAAACAAGAAAATCTTCCTGGTATAATCCTCATACTTGGTGTCTGACATGTGAAGATGTTTGTTTTTGAAACAGGGTCTCATAACCCAGGCTGGCCTTGAATGTACTATGTAGCCACCTATGACCCTGAATGCCCAATCCAGTTTCCACCTCCTTTGTTCTGGAGTCACAGGTTGGCATTAGCTTACCCGATTTATATGGGATCAAACCCAAGCTTTCATGCATGCTAGACTAGCATTCTACCACCCCATCCTACAACATTCCCAGTCCATGAAGATGTTTTCATAATTATTTTGGGGGAAAATGAGACTAAGCAAGACCCAGGTCCCAGGGCATGAAGGAACCCGGGTAGCCTCCTAGGACTGCCCCACTGCCATCCCAGAGCTTAGGAACCTAGTGCTCTCACCTGTCTTCCGGGGGCCTCCAGCTACTGCCAGAGGGCCAGCAGGGAAGGGGCCTGGGAAAGGCAACGGGTCCACTTCTGGCCGCCGTTTGTACTTCTGTCGCCCGCCCCGGACACGGTCCAAACGCACCCCTTGAATTGTAGGACAGTGTCCATAGAGTGTTTTCTCTACAGAGCCCAAGATCCCCCTTTCCCAGGCTTCAGCCCATCCCACTCCCCAACCCCCACGTCCCCCAGGCACTGCCCAGTACTCACCCTCCTTGAGCATGCCCACCCGCAGGCACTTGGTGAAGCGGCAGGCCTGACAGGCCTTGCGTCTCCGCTTGGTGATCTCACACTCGTTGGAGGCTGGACAGCTGTACTCGATGCTCCCTGCCAGGAAGAGGCAGGGCTCCAGTGGCGGCCTCCTAGGGCCCAAAGGGGGCCCAGCTGACAGGAGAGCCCTGACTCACCCTGGGCAAGCACCAGTCTGGGGGTATGAGGAGGAAAGGGAGAGCAGGATGCCATGAGCGGGGCAGGGAGGGTAGACAGCCACTGGACAGGGCAGGGAGGATGGACGGCCACTGGACAGGGCAGGGAGGGGGGCTGCTTGAACAAAGGAAGGCCCAGCAGGTCAAGCTATATCTCTACCCCCAAGCCACGCTGCTAGGCTGCACTGTCCACATCTGCTCTGTCAAGGGCCACAGTGACCTCTAGGCTAAATCCAAGGGTTGAGTCCTCAACTCCTTTGCCTAAAAGGAGCATGCAGCACATTGGTCGCTTCCTACTCCTAGAAACCCCAGTGCTTTCTTCCTTTGCTTTTAGGACAGGCTCTCCTGGTCCTCCTCCTCCTCCTGCCCTCTGGCCACTTTGTGGTCTGGATGCAGCTCACTGTCGCAGCCCAGGGCTGGCCTCCTCAGTCTCTTCCTCCTCCCCAGAGTTTCAAGTTCATTGCTATAGCCTAGGCTGCCAGCAGCCCCCAGGACATCTTGAAGTTCTAGAAGGTTTCTCCATCCTCTCCATCCTGTAAGGACGCCCACCTCCTCCACTGAGCCTGCAACCAGCTTCAGTGGCAAAACCTCCACTCCTGTAGCTCCCCACATCCAATTCCCTGGCAATGCTAGGGGCTTCATCTTATCCACCCAGAACCCAACTCCTGCCCTGGACTCCCAGCCTAGACAAGAATCACTATCACCTGGTTTCTCATTAGCCCCCTGTTGTCCCCAATCTCTACACAGGTCTCTTCTATCAAACCCCCAATGACTTCCCTTGAATACAAGCCCAAATGAGCCAGTCCTAGGCCCTTCTGCAGCCCAGCTAGCATATTTAACTGTTCTGCGCTCCCTGCCTGAAGCTGAGCCTGACAGCCTCATTGGCTCCTTGACCTCCTTCAAATTTGCCTCATGTGGCAATGCCAAATCTAGACCCTCAGATCTTAGTGTCCCCTGACATGTTACCTTGTGCCTTCAGCTCTTGTTTTTAGTTTTTTGGGTTGTTGGGTTTTTTTTTGGGGGGGGGGGTTGTTTTGAGACAGTTTCATACCATAGCCCAGGCTACTCTTAAAATTGCAGCAATCCTCTTGCCTCAGCCCCCCAAGTGCTAGGATTACAGGTATGAGCCACCATGTCTGACTGTTTCATTTTAAAAGTAGTGTTTTGGAGGGGTTTCTGGGTTTATGTGTGTGTACATGTGTATGCATATGGAAATCATGGTTTGATGTCAGGTGGCTTCCTCAATCACTCTCCACATTACTTTTGAGACAAGGTCTCTCACTGAACCTGGAGCTCACCAATTCAGCTAGAGTTGGCTGACCAGCAAGCCCCAGGGATCCTCCTGTCTCTGTCCCTGTATCTGGCTTTTGTGTGGGTGTCAGGCTTCTAATTCAAGTCCTCATGCTGAAGCTGTGAGCACTTTACCAACTGAGTCATCCACGTCCTTACCCCCACCCCTTTTGTGAGACTGGGTCTGGTATGGCCCAGGTTGGCTTTGAACTCCTGATCCTCCTGCCTCCACCTCCCAAGTACAGAATCACAGACATGTGCCATGAACACTCAAGGAGTGTCTTGCTATGTATCCCAGGTTAGTCCTAAACTCACAATCCTCCTGCCTTAGCCTCTTAAATGCTGAAATCACATGGGTGCCACTGTGAATGGCTTACTTTGTGTGTTCTCTCTCACCCTACTTAGTGTCAGCTCCAGTTTCCCAAGGCCAGTCACAAGGCCTGACTTGTAGGTGCCAGTGGCCCTCCCAATCTCACACGGCTGTCATACAAGTAGCATCATACAAGTAGCCAGCAGCCCCTTCATGTTTCCCTCATATACAGAGCAGGGCTGCTACAGTCAGCTCAGGACACTGCCTCAGGCAAGCCCTCCACAGCTCTAGCCCAGACCAGTCCTCAACACACACTCTGCTCCATGCCTTCTGGCACATTCCACAGATCAGACAAGACAGTCCTAGGCAAGTCAGTTTCCCCCCTCCCAAACTCAGTCCCACCTGTGCCTGAACACTGGCCATGGTGGCAAAGCACAGGACTTCGGAAGAGCAAAGGACAAGCTGGGTGCTGTGGCACACACCTGTAACGCCAGAACTTGGGAGGCTGAGCAGGAGGGTGATGAGCTAGAAGTCAGCCTGGGCTACACAGCAAGACCCTATCTTAAGAGGAAAAAAAAGAGCAAAGGACTATGGGGGCCTTACCAATTTTGTGATCTTAATGGGGGATCTACAAGAGCTGGCATCAAAGCATATTGTATACAGCTGTTGCTCAGGTTGGCCCATAGTCAGAATGATGGCTTCCAGGGCTGGTGGCAGGTGTCTGGTCCTGCTGTCTCACTGGTCATCAGGAGTAGAGTTTTAGACCAGTGCACACTGGCCAAATCAAAACTCACTGAAATGTCACAATCAGTGGTCTGAAGTCCAGTTATTAGTAATATGCAGAGGCAGCAGTCTGGTGTGTTAGAGTTCAGGACCTGCACCAAATGCTGGTGCTGCCATTTTCTACCTGAGAAACATGAACAGCTGCAAAAGCTTCCTTGGGCTTTGATGCCCTGTAGACTGTTAGGGGGACTGAGATGGTGCAGTAAAAGGGGCGGGACAGTGCCTCCCACAAGATAAGCACTTGAGAAAAGTGCTTAAAAACTAGTTGACTCGGGCCTAGAGAGATGGTTCAGTGGTTAAGAACACTAGTTGTTCTTGCAGAAGACCCAGGTTCGAATCCCAGCACCCACATGGCAGCTAACGACTGTCTGTAACTCCAGTCCCAGGGGATCCGAAAGCCTCTTCTGACCTCCGAGGGCATTGCACAACACGGGAGCACTTACCTACATGCAGGGCAATACACATAAAATAAAAATAATAAATAAAATTTAAAAAAAAAACTAGTTGACTCGGGAGGCAGAGGCAGGGGGCATCTCTGTGAGATGAAGGCCACCATGGTCCACATAATGTGTTCTAGGCCAGCTGGGGCTACAGGGAGACTCCATCTCAAGAAATCAAAAAACCAAAGCAAACAAACAAAACTATAGTTGAGGCCAGGCAAGATAGCTCAGCAGGGTAGGGTGCTCACTACCAAGCCTGACGACCTGAGTTCAATCTCCACCTCCCACATGGTGGAGAGAACGGACTCCTGCAAGATGTCCTCTGACCTCCATACGTGCGCAGTGGCATGTGTACCCACCACACACACACACACACACATACACACACACACACGAGATAAATAAATACATGTTATACTTTTTTTTAGACCAGTTGCAGTGGAGTTTGCCTATTATCACAGCACTCCTGGGAGGCTGAGGCAGGGTGATGGAGAGTCCAAGGCCAGCCTAGAAGACATGGTAAGTTCCAGGCCAACTATATAGTGACACAGTATCTCAAGAATTTTTAAAAATTATACGTCATAGCCCTAAAGTAACCAATGGTTACATTCAAAACTTATCTGGTCTGCCCCAGAGAATGCCTACATCCACATTTTATTCATGCCCCCAAATTTTGATATGTGCTCCAGGATAAGAAAAAAAAAAAAATCAATGACTTAGTGAGGGAGAACTGTCTTTTTTAAGGTGGGTGCTAAAATACAACAAATCTTTATCAGTTACCCATAAAAACCTGCCTTGAGGGCCCAGTGTGGTGGTGTATGCCTTTAGTCCCAGCAGAGGCAGGTGAATCACTGCGAGTTCAAGACTAGCCTGTTCTATATAGCCAGAGCTACACAGGGAGACCCTGTCTGACAAAACAAAACAAAACAAAACAAAACAAAACAAAAACAGGGGCTGGAGAGATGATTCAGTGGTTAAGAGCACTGGTTGCTCTTGCAGAAGACCTGGGTTCAGTTCCTAACACCCACAGAGTGGTTAACAACCATCTGTAGCCCCATTTCCGCAGGGACTGTACACACATGGTGCACTTACATACATGCAGGCAAACCACTCAAACACACAATAAAAAAAAAAAAAAACCTGCCTTGAGTTAGTGCTGTGGTGCTTTTCAGAGAAATCAAGTAAGGAAGGGAGGGAGGTGGTGCACGCTTTTAGTCCCAGCACTTGGGAGGCAGAGGCAGGCGGATCTCTGTGAGTTCAAGGCCAGCCTGGTCTACATAGTGAGTTCCAGGCCAGCTGGGGCTACAGGGAGACCCTGTCTCAAAAACACCAAAAAAAAAAGAAAGGCGGGGGGGTGGGGTAGGGGGGGGTTCTGCTCAATGCAGAGGAGAAGCGAGCAGCTACCAGAAGAAGGTCAAGAACTAAGTTTCAGAACAGGCACAGGCCCCCTGCATCCTTGCTTAATCCCATGACCCATTCTGGTAGCTTTTTTTTTTTGAGACAGAGTATCATGTAGGCCAAGCTGGCCTCCAACTTACTATGTGGTTGATAATGACCTTGAATTTCTGATTCTCCTAGCTCCACCTCCAAAGTGCTGAGATTTTAGGTACACACCACCAGGCCCTACTGCAAACTAGGCAAGCACTCTATGAGCTATATCCCCAGCCTTCATTTCACTTTTAAATAAAAAGATGTCCCTGGGAGGTACAAGGAAACGCCAACTCCAGAGTTCCAACCTCCAGCAGTACCTGGGCAGGCTCAGGGCCTCTTGAAACTCAGCAGTGTACCAACTGAAAGGTGCCAGCCAGGCCCAGAGGGTACAGGGCAAAGGGCACAGAAGCGGGGGTAGGGGCTCACCCTGGATGGTCCTCTTGAAGAAGGCTTTGCAGGCCTCACAGGATGCCACACCATAGTGGTAGCCGGAGGCCACGTCCCCACAGACCAGGCAGAGGCGTTTGGGCAGGGAGCTGAGCACCAGCTTCCCACCACCCTGTTCCCCAGGCCCAGGCCCCTCCCCATCCTCCTCCTCCTTGTGCCCTGAGTGGCAGCGGGCTGGAGCTGGACCCGGGGCCAGGGTCACAGGGGGTTCAGTCTCGGTCTCTGAGGAACCCTTTGGACTGTCAGGGCTGGCTGGCTCTGCCTTGATGTAGAGAGGCTCAATGCCCACCACCTGGCTGGACATGGCGCTGGTCACCTGCGGGAAAGACCATCAGGGTCACAGGGAGGCTCCCTGCCACATGGGTTGCCCAACACTGGGCCTGGGCTAGGCTTCCAGGCTCAGCCAAGGAGGGGAGCGGGACAGAGTCCAAAGAGGGCTGCCCAGGAAAAGGGCCCCCAGCTGTCACCATGGGAACAGAGTCTCCAGGGCCAGTTAACTGACAGCAGGTTCTCCTCTTGGGAAACTGAGAGAGGCTTGGCAAGCCAAGCGCCCACCTAGGCCAGGAGGCAGGGTAACCTCAGCCCACAGGCAACTCTCAACCCTCCCCGGCATCCCCAAACATAAGCATGCTACTCCTCCCCTCCTAGTTTTCTCCAGCTGCTGAAGGGACTCTTGGTATTCTATTATTCAAGAGCATACTGAGGAATACGGGCCCAGGAACAGAAAGGATGAAGCCACACTTGCAGGAGTCTTCACAGGTCCACACATGCTCACTTCTGGGGACCTTCACACTCGCACGGCCTTTCACAAGACCCACTTCTCACATACTCCCACCAAAGGGCGCATTCCAAAAGCAAACTCACACTCGTCTCATAATCACACACACACACACAGACTCCTCAACCAGGTCCCCACATTCACACACATACAAGCAGACTCTTGTGAGAGAGAACAGTCTCTCACCCCTAGCACGCCACCCCCTCCTGCCCCAGCATGCCCAGTCCAGCCACACCGTGTAGGGCGCGGCGCCACCTCCTTGCACCCCAAACCTGCACTGGCTTATTCTTATGCTCCAGCTGCTGCCGCAGAGTCCGCCATCTCCAGGGGCGCCCCGCCCCCCCTAACCTGCGCACACCTAGGGGAAGTTGCCAGAAGTTGCTAGTGTCCCCACCCCCCCTACCCGCGGGGGTACTTCTATCAGGTTATCAGGAAGTAAAAGAGAAAAGGCAAGGAGGAAGCTCTCCCCTGCCGGGGCGATGACCTTTGACCCAGAGAGGAGGGAGGCCCAAGGCCCCTGCGAGCGCCCCCACGTGGTCTCCAGGGCCCCCTCTCGACCAAGAACCCCGATCTTCCACCCCAGCCAGCCCCAGGGACTCCGGGAACGCTCCAAGTGCGCGGCTGAACCCTGGCCCGGGGCTGGATCCGAGGCCCAAAGCTAACCCGGGCCCGGACTCGCATCCCCAGCCAAAGCCACTGCCCCTGACCCTGGACGCCCCGCGCCGCGGGACTCCGGATCCCGCCCAGCCCCTGACCCCGGCTGGCTCCGAACCCAGTGTGGCCGTGACCCGGGCGGCCCCGGAGCGGGACCCCGCCTGCA